AATTCTTGTGCATATTCAAAAGATAATTGAGCTACAAGGTGGTAACGAGTACATAGAGGGGAGAGACAAGCCTCGGCTAAGGCGGCCGTACATCGGATAGATTATTCTTGGCGGGACAGAACTTTTGTGAGGCACCTCCGTACACTACACTACCTTTTGCTCCACAAGGCGCAGGCGTGCGTTAGCGTACGGCTAGGCAATGCAGTTCCGCCTCCATCAGGAGGTGGGGTCTTGTGCCCTAATCGCCGACTATGCTACTGCATGCAAACGTAAGACGCGGCGGACAAGGTTTGGCCTGGCTTTCGCGATAATGGCTCATCGGATGTGTTTGGTTCCAGAGCCCTTGAGAAAGAGGGTTTCCCGTCATCTCCTTCGCATAGTAATGAAGGAAATTGTCGTGTTTGAACAATTTGTCTGCGAGATCCATATTCTCATTGCATCTCTCATACTTCCTCAATGCTTGTGTTGGTCAAGATCAAAAGTAGTATTTATAACGTCTAAGGCTCTGGTCTACTAAATCATATGTAACTGTAAATGGCAAATAGTGGAAATGGATTCCATATTACAGACTCCGAAAATACAGGATCAAGCATCTTTGTCATGATCGTAGTGGTGCGCAGCTGGTGACTATCTGCCGTCATCTTTCTTGTTGTCAAAGTAATGATACGCAACTGGTGGCGAGTCGTCGTCGCCATATGCGTTTCCGCCATAGTTCAGATACCCCTCGGCGCCCTTGAAAGGAATTGTCGCAATATCCTTGTAGTCGCCAAACACCCAAGCGCTCTGCATACCCATCTTCATGTGCGGGATAATGTGACAATGCATCAACCAAACTCCTGGGGCCTCGACACGTATTCTCCAGGCCCTCCACGAATGTACCTGCCCAGCCACACCTTTAGGGGCGTACCGGTGCAACATTGTAGTATCACGTAGCACAGGGTTGTAGTTTTCCAGCATCTTCTCATGCGCAACAGGATCGTATTTGCCCTTTCCGGTTCCGGCGTCGAAGTAGTGCCTGCCGTGTAAATGCATAGGATGGTGATCCACCCCGCTGTTGTTGTTGACTAGACTTCCTGTGTTTTCGAGGATGATCTCAAGGACTTCTCCAAGCTTGGCTGGCCAAGTAAGAGTATATGGGTCCCAGTCGTTGTTTGCGAGTGCCGCGGTGTAGTTTGGCATGGCGATCGGCCCATGCCTATAAATGTCTACCAGGTACGGGGGGCTGTTTTCCGGAGCATCTTCTGTCCAGTTGAGGCCGTCCATTTGCCAAACGATTGAGCCTTTCATGATTTGCTGATTGGTGATGTGGATGCGTCGCGTCACCTCAGATGCCTTCGGGAAGTTGTTAGGGACCAAAGGCTCCAACGCATACTCGAGGAAGTCGTATGTGGCGTTCGTAAGAACCAGAGGGTTTGTGATAGGCCGAGTGGTAATCTGATTTCCCTTGATGCTGGGGTAGCGCAGAATGCCAAATCCAGTGTAGACAGCAGGCCGGTCTTTCGTCTCAAACTGGATGTAGTAATCAGTCTTGCCTGCTGCCTCAAGCTCAGCTACCGTCTTTGCACGAAAGAGTGCGTCGAAGCGCTGCCCAGTTGCTACCTGCATGTAGCCGATCGGATGTGGTTTCGTGTAATGGCCATCTGCTGCAATGACTTCGAAATCGGAATGGCCCTCGATGGCCAACGAAACCATAGATATGACCCCTGCACCTATAAATCTAAAGCGATAGACTTTTCCAGGCTCTACATCAATGACTGGAAGCTGACAGTCTCCCTTGCCAACCGTTGCATTTCTTGTCACACCAATTCCGTTAATTAGTACCGCATCTACTTCACCAACCCAGACAAATGGAGTTGCCACAAGACCTTGCTCCATTACTTCATCACTTTTCTTGTAGTAGTCTTGGAAGAAGACCAATCGCTCTTCGTCGTACGGAATCGGGGGTAATCCGAAATCCTCAACGATGAGCGGTCCACTAGCAGAGATGGCTCCCATATGCATATGTGTGTGGTAGAAATATGACCCTGCATCGTCCAATCCAGGGTGTATCTCATAATCGAAACACTTGCCGGATGCAATTCCCCACTGGGAGACGGGAGATCCGTCACTAAATGGAGCTGTACTTTGAGTAAGGCCATGCCAATGCTGAACTGTGTTAGACAACGCTTTGAAGATTCGCGAAAAACACTCATACCATAGTCGTGTTGTAGTTATCCACGTGGTTGCAGACCCTCACCCAGCTCGTTTTCCCAGCTGGTAGTCGTAGCGTCGGTCCAGGGGATGTGCCATTCACCAACACAGACATGCGCTGCTCGCATGCTACATTTTGGATTTCGCGTGTGATTGTGAGATAGAAATCGGGGTGAAAGCGATCGCCATGGGTGACCACGCCGGTAGTATTCGCGATGGCGGTACCATTGTCACACGGCTCCTCCTTGCCCACGACTGAATGCGCCGTCGCCAATAGTAAACCAATCGCAAGGCGGGAAAACATCTTAAATGAATGGGATGAGAGGTGAGAATAATGTGCTCAGGATCCACCAGTTATATATATCAACCACAATCATTGTAAATAAAGATTGCCATAGTTAGCCCTCCACATTCTGACCCACCCGATAGGTACACCTGCCTGTCGATCGGTTTGTTCCGACAGTGCCTCAACGACCCTAACGCTAGTAGCGGTAGGCCAGGGTGTGGGTCCGCCGGATACAGGCGCCCCCCAGAATCCACCGAGGCTGGGCCGACGATCCTGGTGTCTAGTGTGTAGTATCCTCGCATCTCAGGTTCTTCGAAATCATGTATTTTATGGATACTTTTTCGTAGATATTGAAAGTAAAACCGATCATTCCAGTCATATTCGTTCTTCCTACGTAGAGCACCCAGTTGTTGCCCAGTCGTCACACCAAAATCCTCATGTTATTTAAGTGCTGTCTAGTAAACTTTGAGTTCGGACCGAAGAAACGTCCCGACTTTCGTGCGATCATGTCGCCCCAAGCACCGGTAATTTCCCAAGAAACAGACATGGATGAATTGGGCCGTCATGTTGAGCTAGCAGTTATATGCTCGACACCCAGTGATAGAAGTGTCGCTGCCCCACAAGCTTTGATCTGAGCGTTCACCCCCTTATCTTCCCTCACTCCTCTACATATATTACATTCACTGTACCACAGCATTTGCGACAGGTGATTTTTGTTGCCCACACTCGTTTCCATCAAAAACCAATCCATCGAAAGAAAAAACAATGTTTAAATTAATCGTCGTTTCGTTTGTGGCTATGCAAATGACAGCATTTGCGGCGCCACAACAGCAATCCGGATCTAGCGGCGTGCAAATCACAAGCTTGGAGAAGAATGCCACATCCACCGTCGGCTCTGGAAATGTGGCGGCGGCGGGTAATCTCACCCCGTTTGGTGATATCGGCGTTGGCTGCGGTATCAACTGGAAGGCAGACACGTCTTACGGAGGTAAGCAGGTCGTCAGATTACGCAATCTACTCTGTACGGGAATTGACACTGCGTGTTAGGTGGACTTCAAGCCGGCTCTAGCGACTTTGGCCTGGGGAGCGGGTTCACCATGACTCCTGGATCCATTCGTATCGGTGCAGGAATTGGAATGAATACGGTGAACGCTAGTGCCAACATACAGTTCACGGGTTCAAAGAATGGTAGCGTAGAGCTCGTATTCGAAAGCACATCTCCCGTAGTGTGCACGCCTGGAACCAGGGATGGCAAGTCCATTGTATCTTGCAAGACGATCAATGCTTAATGCCATGCTTATACACGCGTGATGTGGTATTGATCAAGGAGACCTTGGAAAATTTTTACGGGCCTTTAGTAAAACCGAACAGAGCCAAATCACCGTCAGTTGCTGGATTTTTGTCTCAATGTACACTATTCGAAAACTACTTAATAAGTACATAATATTGGCTGGTTATACATACTTGAATTCTTCTTCAATGGAATACTCTTCCGCGCTAGATCTTGCCTACATTCGTTATTGAATGTGGTTATCTGGATAGGAAGGATATCAGATTTACAACAGAACCGTGACCTCAGTCGTAGGCCCCACTACAGCTGCGGGACAGCTTTAGTACCCAGGGTCTGTTCGAGGCTCAAAGCTTTGACAGAGGGTGCTAGCTGGCCTCGATCTAGATTAAGACAGATAACGGAGGCGCTGTTAAGTTGAGCTCTATTTTATGTCCAAATTTCAATCATGCCGTAGGCTACACTGCTAGAATAGCTAGAAAATGGACCTTCATTTCGTGTTACGAGGAGGAAATTTTGTGAGAATTAGTACTAGAGAGATCCTATTCTATGGAGTAGAAGAAGTCTGATCAAACCGAGCTTCATCTCCTAGCGTTCATACATCTTTTTTTCTTTCAAACACGATGCTTTTTCCAGATCCTTTCTCTAAAAGGAGCCCAGGTTATATTCAGCAGAGGAGGAACGGAGACGGAGGTGAACAGGCTCTTACTCAAAGTTTAGCACTCTGACTTGGTGTTGTACGAAAGGAACTTCCCTAGTGAACTATATAGTATGACTGCCGTGTTAATGGCTTGGGCGAACAAGTCATGACTTGGCTCGGGCATGAAGTTAGTTATAATACACCTATCTCGGTACCGGCGCCGATTCCGGAGAATTCACTGGATCAGTCAGAACACTGGTCTTTTCGTAGCGGCACACCAAAGCAATGCGGGCTAGAGTCTGCTATTTATGTAGACGCCGTCGAACCACTACTTTTAGTGCTGTTTCGTATAAACCTTATGATAGAATACGCGCCTCAAATGCTCGCAATACCGATATATTGGCCTCTGTTAAGGCCACTAAAGAGGTCGAACCGTTCGCACTGCATCTCAACGATATGGGTACCATCGATAGCAATCATCGCTTGCTGGAAAGAACAAAGTTTGAAATAAGCTTTCTCATCTGCTGGCCTGCTCCCGGAGTTCCGGGCATGACTGAGTAATGCGGTTTTTACCTGACTTCTCGAGCAGCCACCTAGTCCATGAGATTATCACGGAATCTCACGGGATCACAGCCGCCCCACGTGTCAGCGCTGCCACAGGCGGGTTGTTGCATAAGACTTGCATAGTTATCTGCAGATGTTTTAATCAATCTGATACCATCCAATCAGAGTTTCGATTCTTCGCCTTGCGAAGAAACAAATGAGAGCTTCTTTAGTAAAGACGGGTTTCTAGCCTTCCGAGCCGTTGTTGTCAGATGTCGCGGCTTTCACTGGCCGTGGGGCCAATATCACGAATTCGATACGCCGTCTCTAATATGACCAAGGTAATTGTGTTCAATCTTACTGAACTTCACGTGTACTGTCAGGTAAAGACTCAATTGTATCGTGACTATCGCACCATACTAACGCACACATATTGTTTCATGCTGACTTATAGAAAACGCGATCGAATATTCCTTGCCAAACTCACTTCGAATACGCTCTAATTTCCACATCCGGGCCTGTTATATTGTTTTGCTTATCCATTTGTTGAGCAGCGAGAACTTGATGAAGATGTATGGGAGGACACAAAGATTGCCAAGTATGGAGTTGTAATGCGATCGGAGAGAATGCAAACATATCAGACTAGACTATCTACAGATATGCTTGGAATTTGGCTGGATTACGATGTATAATGTTCTTTGCTATTGGTTATATAAAGAACTACTAGTTTAACACCCTGAAAAGGCCTCAGCTGGGGTGTTCGGACGAATGGTATCATGGGTCTCGGTATCATCGCACCGCTACTGATAGCTTACTCTGCAAGGTAAGGGTTGAATAAGTGGAGTCGAGTCCAACAAATAACTCTCTTCTAATGTGAGCGCAAACCACCCCTCTAGTGCCCAACTAAATTATGCTATGACCTCTAGTCGTGCTTTTTAAACAGCCTTAGTTACAACACCTCCAAACTCTCACAAATGAAATTGGGAAAATATCACCATGATAGTATTACCTGGATGCATAGAAGGAATGTAAAGCTAGTCGGTCAGATAATTGCGCGGGTAGATGCAGGCTTGGTAGGTACATAAAATGAGCATCTGCAGTTCCCTCTTTGATCAACCAACGCTTACGTACGTCACCACATCACCACTTCCGAAACTGGCAAAGTAAGTAAGCTTCGTTTCCCAAATGACATCGGCTTCTCAACAGGCTCCCCGACATCCCTGCTTACATATTCCACTAAGCTTGCTTGCTCATAGCTTCACCAACTGTGTTCTCAGAGCGGATTTCGTCGCAAAACTTGCTGTTGTAGTCGACGCGGAAACTTCGGTTGAACAGCAGACATAGATCCTACGATCCAATAGGTAACTCGTGTTCAAAATGCCAGACCTTGTACATATGAACCTGGTTTTGGGAGAATCTCAGCTGATACATAGACCGATATCGAGTATACTTCCAGATGAGGAGGCATACTAGCAAGTGTATCACATATTTTAATATCATTGCTATGGAGGAACCTGATATTGAAGTAGTTTCATGTGCTGAATTGAATCCCACTCCGGCTAACAACCATTGTGGTTTCGCTGTTCAACATGGAAAATGTTGACATGGCCCATGAAGAAGTAAACTACGGATAATTCTTCTCGTATGATTGCTCTGCTTGTTGAGTTGAAGATCGTATCTTGTAATATTGTCATTGCATAGCTCGAACGTAGAGAGCTAGTATCTAACTGTCGTTTTCACTAATGTCATCACCATATTCTTCTCTCCCACCAATGAAAAAGGCAGAGATGATAGCAGTGAATGCACAGAGACCAGCAAGCACCGCATTCATATTCCCATATCCAATCTTTTCCCGCAGTAGACCAGCAATCAACGGACCTACAGTCAGCCCGCCGCTCCAGACCATACTGTTGATACCATAAAGTTGCGCATATGGCGCCTGTTCAAATAAGTCTTCGTTTGCTTTGTAGTACTTCTCAACGACATTCCCTGCTTCAACGATACTAGGGCTATTGATACTTGATAACGCCAGCCCGTTGGCTGCCAACAGGCCAGCGTAGAGCGCAATAAGGTGTGGCTTGTCCAGTTCTTCGACAAGATTCGACTCGGTGGGAAGGCGAAGTAATATAAGAGTGGGTATGAGCCAGGTAAATCCAAGGAAAGCCATTGGTTTCGTACCGTAGCGATCAACACACCATCCGAAAACAGGTCCAAGAAGGAAGTCGGCACCGCCTAGCGGCAGGAAGAGAAGCCCGGCTTTTAGACTATTGAAGCCAAATTGTTCGGAGGCTACCAGAGGGATTGTAGCGTCGAAGGATCCTAGTAGCAGAGCCTGCATGAAGGCAATCCAGATGGAGGCCAGCAGGGCAGGATTGCGTAAGAGCATGACGATGGGAAAGTTGCGGGTGAATCGATTTGTTGGCTTGGAGAGACGGTAGCAATCATCAGTGACGGTACGGTTGGGCAAGAGAGGTGTCTCCTCAGTGTTTTCTTGAGTGCTATCCGGATCATGGACTGTTTCTGACTTTGGACTAGAGTACTTTGCCGCAACTTTCGTCTCTACCATGAGTACTCGGAGGATGAAGTCTACTCCGATCAATCCAAGACCAATTCCAAAAACGCCCGTATATCCAGTTTTCGCGTAGAGTACTCCACCAGCAATGGGCGAAAAAAGCCCAGCCACAGAAATGAAACTGAACAACGTGCCCATAGTTTTTCCCAAGTTCTCTTGCCCTACCGTCTCTACGACAATAGCGATACCAATGGTCCAGACAACGCCTCCAGAAGCACCCTGCAGAATTCTCGCAATAGCAAGGACGGCCACACTACGTCCCAGAGCGAGCAGGACAGTAGATAAAAGGAGCATTATGAGCCCTAAAAGGAACGGTACTTGTCGAGAGTTGGAGAATTTATCAGCCAATACTCCGGCTATTGGGGATGCTGCGCAAGACGCAGCTGCGTAGACTGCAAGCAGATACGATATCGTACTTTGTACCTGTGAGTCGGGCATATCGATACGATCTTTCAGCAAGAATGGGAGAACAGGTACGATAAGTCCATAGAGAAAAAGATCCACAAATGCTCCCGTGCCGACAGTCAGGACGACAAAGAATGGGTGCGACCGCCATTTGAGCCCTGGCGGTGCCGAGGAGCTTTTGAAGCCCATCAGGCTGAACATGTTTGATACGAGGTCTAGTTATGAGATATGAAGATACAAAAGGTTGAAGTAGTACAATCTGTAGTAAATTCTAGATGATATCCGAGTTGTCGGTAGTAGCTGCAGGATGCTTCCAATAAAAGTTTCGCACAAGGCCCGGATCTCCGAACATACATACTGACGTCAATATCCGAGCCAAGCCAATAACTATCCGAGATCGTAACAACCAGCGGACGAAAACGAAGAAAGGTTGGAGATTTTGTCAGTAATCAAAAAAGTAGCATCAGCCGATAAATGGAATTCGAAATTCTGTGTTTTGTGCGACCAATCATCGACAAAGTCAGAGTTATTCATGGTGACTGGTGCATGAAGAGTATTGGCATAATAAGAATACACACATTCCTCCTCCCAGGATTGTAGAAGTATCTATTTACACAGTATACCGATGCTGATTGCCGCAAAGCCACTTCCTCAAACAGCTTGTCAATGTAATAGGGGCACGGACCCATGGCCTTTTTGCGAGGGTAAAGCCCTCACGTGACCCCGTAACTAGCGTTCTTGGCATGCATGCCGAATCTACTGGGGTATGGATAGCTTCACCTCTCGCTTGGAGCAATCACACCAAACACGAACTTCTCTCTCGCCGCAGTCGCCTCAAAATGGCGGACAAGATGGAAGGTGTGCTAATGGGTGGCAGTCTCGTAGATCCCAGCAAATATCCCGTTCCCATCGAAACGTAAGTGCAATCATGCCGAAAAGGTAGGTTCCTATGATGCTAATACAGAATTGTAGAATCTATGTGAGTTTACGACTACGACGCGCGTGTACCGGTGACTCTGTGCGCGTCGCCTGCGACGGCTTGAGTGCTGACAAGAATAGGTCAACAACCTCGAGGAGCGTGTCAAGATTGACACCATGAAACAAGCCTTAACCCGCGTGTTCCAATACTATGGCCCGATTCTCGACGTGATTGCTAAGAGCAGTCTCAAGCGCAAGGGTCAGGCGTTCATTGTGTTCGACAGCGAGAAGGCAGCGCTGGAGGCTGTGGAGGAGATGAATGGCTTCGAAATGTATGGAAAGGTCATGCGAGTGCACCGGGCCAAAACACACAGCGACGAAACGGTCAAGCGGAAGGCGCCCGACATGTTCGAGGACCACAAGCGGAAGCGACTGACACTCAAGGGTATGATGTGCACCTTCTAGACACGTCAAGTGTTCTATGCTAAACTCCTACAGATTTCAAGCGTGCCGAAGAAGACGCGAAAGCGCAAGCCAACCCCGTCGCCGCCGAGAAGCCTCGCGCTGCCAAAACTGGAGCTGCCGCCGTTCCCGACGAATATGTGCGACCCAACAAGACACTCTTTCTGCAGAACATTCCTCGCGACGTCGACGAGGATGACCTTACGACCATATTCGAGCGCTTCGAGGGCTTCAAGGAAGTGCGCCTGGTATCAGTCAGGGCCGTTGCCTTTGCCGAGTTTGAAAACGAGCAGTTTGCGATTACGGCAAAAGAGGCAACGGCGAATACCCCGATTGGTGCTGAGGGCAAGCCCATGAAGGTCACGTACCAGCGACAGCAGTAGGTTATTGCATGTGGATTTAAATGCGTTGGATTTATTGCTTCTGAGTTTATGCTTTTATGATACCTCGTTCAACAATGAACACCCGATATGGGCCGACACAATAGATGTCCTGTTGTCTGAACACTTGCCATGACACTATTATGATACAATACTTATATATCTCCTCTAGAAAAGACAAAGAAGAGCACAACTGGGTCGACATGATCGCCTGGGATGGGAAGGCTGTAGCTGCATACCGAGAAGCTGAGACTTTCAAGAAGGAATACCGCCAACTGCAAGCTGAGTCGAAGGAAACAGAGGACGCAACAGAGGAGGGGGCCAATCTCGCAAAGGCAAGCGACGGCTGAGTGCTTAGAAAATAACGTCCTCGTTGTCCTCGTCGCCAAGCATGTCCTTGGTCTCGACAGCCTGCTGGGGCGCCTGGGTCTCCGCCTCCTGTGCTTCTTTTTTCTTTGCGACTCTTTCTGCTTCTTCGGCTGCAGCATCATTCTGCTTCTTCTTGGAGACCTTTTTCAGGCGGTAAAATTCTTCTCGGTCCAGCTCATCCAGCTCGGAGTTGATGTACTTGATGGTGTTTTCGGTGCGGGGAATAATGACGTGCTCACTGATAGTCGTCAGCTTGGGAAAACATTTCGGCATCCAGGCGGGCGACACTCACATGGCGTTGACACGGCGGTTGACAACCTTAATTACCTCATCCAATATGACAAAGGCTGTCTGCAGACTGGCCAGCTCTACTAGCGTTTCCACGGCTCTAGCATATGTCTCTCTGCACCTCTGCACTTGCTGACCACCCTTACCCAATCCTGTCAAGGCGAAGTCGTTGTTCTGCTCAACCGTGAAGCTCTCGAATTGCGGGAGGAAAACACCAGACACATTCTCTTGCTTGGTGCGTACGCGGAAGCGCGCTTGCTTTGCAGATTCTTGGATCTGGTAGCCAATGTCACCGCCAACTGCATATGTGACTTCGGCGAGGGAGAAGGCAGCGACCTGCATAACTCTGCCCATCTTGCGCTTGGCCTCATCGATGCGGCGAGTGATTTCTAAAAAAGCGTTTCAGCTACATTGGGGGGCAGTGGTGCGGACAAGCGATAGGCGTCGTCGTACCTCGGAAACGTCTAGCAATGGTCAGCAAAGCTTCGGAAACATATATAGGGCAGAGGATGAGGCGCACTTTGTCAGGGCTTCGCTCTTTCGCTTCAGCAGATCGTGGCCAGTCTGGGCACCCTTGAGCTTGCTTTTCATCATACCCAGCGACTGCCGGGTCGCGAAGACGGCCTCTCTCGCCTGAGGGCCGAGTTAGCGTGGGTAGCTATTAGCTGGTTGCGATAGTGGACGACATACCCCACTGCCTGACATGGCTGCAGCTCGGCGCGGTAGTGTAGGATGGGGCTGGAGCTGGAGCTGGAGGGGCTGTAGAAGTGCTGCTGACGAAGCGACGCAAATAGAGACGGTGTGGTGGGATGTCTCGGGGCCACTCAGGCAGGCGCAGTCGGCGTACAGTGAATGGGACGGAGCGTGACGCAGCTATGCCGGGAAGCTACTTCAGACCAGTCCGTGCACCCGCGCCTGCCAACTCTACCAGAGTGGGCCATGCAGCTGCGCGCCCTGATTGGCCGCTGCCAAACGCTGACCGCTCGGACTCCATCGCTCTTGCCCTCAGAACTTTAACCCGGCGACACGCTTCATCAGCCCGTCGTGTCCCGAACCCCTTCAACTTCCTGCCCATCGTGGGCCTCTACACGCCCTGGCACTGGCGCAACCATGCCCGGCGAACTCCTCAGGACTGTGACCGCGAGCCTCTCGCGGCCCACCAAGCGCAAGATGGAGCCCTCGACCGACCTTTTCCTCATCACCGACCAGGACGTCGCGTACGAACAGGACATCCAGCGCAATGCCGGCAGCGTCAAGCCATGGCTCGACTACTACAGCTTCAAAAAGTCACGTGGGAGCATCCTGGAGCAGGCCTTTGTGCTCGAGCGCGCAGTCACCACGCTCCCGCGCTCCTACAAGCTGTGGAAGCTGTACCTCGAGTTGCGGACAAAGCACCTTGCCAACAAGAACCCAGCCAAGTTCGCGCCCCACTATGTCAAGGTCAACGCCCTTTTCGAGCGTGCCCTTGTCCTGCTTAACAAGATGCCGCGAATCTGGGAAATGTACCTCAATTTCCTCATGCAGCAGCCGCTCGTCACCACTACCCGCCGTACCTTCGACCGAGCATTGCGCGCCCTCCCCCTGACCCAGCACAACCGCATTTGGGCCTTGTACCGACCCTTCGCGACGTCTGCATCCGGCGAGACGGCTGTCAAGATCTGGCGCCGGTACATGCAAATTCACCCCGAAGATGCTGAGGATTTCATTGAGCTCCTCAAGGACATGCGCAAGTACACTGAGGCTGTCAAAAAGTACATGGAGATTCTCAACAATCCTCGCTTCAAAAGCAAAGAAGCAAAGGGGCCTTTCCAGTTCTGGACTGAGATGATTGATCTTATCATCGACCATGCTAAAGAAATCGATACCAGCGACGACAGCGGTATCGACGTCGAGAAGATCATCCAGAGCGGCATCACCAAGTTTCCCGATCAGCGAGGCATCCTGTGGGTCGGTCTGGCACGTTATTGGATGCACAAGGGCGAATACGAAAAAGCGCGGGACGTCTTCGAAGAGGGTGTCACTACAGTCATGACTGTGCGCGATTTTTCAGTCGTTTTCGACACATACGTGGAAGCCGAGGAAACCATGATTGGTATCAAACTGAACGAGGCCGCTGTCCGGTCCGAGAAGGGCAAAATCGACGAGGCCGCCGACGCCGACCTCGACATCAGAATGGTTCGCTTCGAGTCACTGATGCAAAGAAGACCATTCCTACTCAACGATGTTATGTTGCGACAGAACCCGCACAACGTTATTGAATGGGAGAAGCGCGTTGCGCTCTGGGGCGACAACAAGAAAGAGGTGGTACAGACATACACCGATGCCATTGCCGCGATCAACCCCAAGAAGGCAGTTGGCAAGTTCCACGAACTTTGGACCAACTACGCCAAGATTTACGAAGCCGGTGGGGATCTTCAGAATGCGCGCGTTATTATGGAGAAGGCCGTTAAGGTGCCCTTCAAGTCCGTTTCCGAGCTGGCTGAGATGTGGTGCGAATGGGCAGAGATGGAGCTCCGCAACGAAAATTTCGACAAGGCCGTCGACATCATGGCCAAGGCTACGCAGGCACCAAAACGATCCAATGTCGACTACTTTGACGAATCTCTTTCCCCACAACAGCGTGTACACAAGAGCTGGAAACTGTGGAGCTTTTATGTTGATCTTGTCGAGAGTGTTAGCACTTTGGAAGAGACAAGAAAGATATATGAAAGGATTTTCGAGCTTCGAATTGCTACACCGCAGACGATTGTCAACTACGCCAACTTGTTGGAAGAGAACAAGTACTTTGAAGACTGCTTCAAGGTATATGAGCGTGGGTTGGATCTTTTCAGCTATCCTGTCGCTTTCGAGATTTGGAATCTTTACTTGACCAAAGCCGTGGATCGAAAGATTGGTATGGAACGACTACGAGACCTGTTTGAACAGGCTGTCGAGGACTGCCCGCCAAAGTTTGCCAAGGTACTATATCTCATGTACGGTGCCCTCGAGGAAGACCGTGGTCTGGCCAGACATGCCATGCGCATCTATGAACGTGCTACACGCGCCGTAGCAGATGAAGATAGGATGGAAATGTTTAATTTCTACATCACCAAGTCGGCATCCAACTTTGGTCTTACTTCTACACGACCAATTTACGAGCGTGCCATTGCCGCTCTGCCCGACGCAGAAGCCAAGGAAATGTGTCTCAAGTTTGCTGAGATGGAACGACGTCTGGGAGAAATTGACCGAGCGCGAGCCATCTACGGCCATGCCAGTCAGTTCTGCGATCCGAGGACAAACCCCGAGTTCTGGAAGAAGTGGGAGTCTTTCGAAGTCCAACACGGAAACGAAGACACCTACAAGGAGATGCTGCGCATTAAGCGGAGTGTCCAGGCTCAGTACAAGTACGTACTACTTCTCCTTAGAATGCTGAGATGCATTGCTAACATATATATAGTACCGATGTCAACTTCATCGCCTCCCAAGCTGTTGCCCGCGGCCAGCAAAACGGTGCGGCCGCCAACGAAGACGGGACCGCAGACCCTGCCGACGAAGACGCAATGGCTGCCCTTGAACGCCAAGCTCGTGCACCCGCTGGCTTTGTCGCTGCTAGCACAGGCCCGCAGGGCGGCAACATCAAGCCTGCCGAAGAGCCAACGGCGAACCCAGACGCGATCGATCTCGACGACGATCTATGATTCACGACCGGTGGGTTAGGGTGGGTGGATTTAGGATGAAGATTTGCATTTCGACGGCGTTATATCCATGGCTACCTTGCTGCTCTAGCACATTCCTATTATTTTTGCGTGTACCGTAGGGTTGACCCAGTGTCTGTCTCCCTTGCCTCGTCCTCACTTTTGAGGTTTCGACAGTCTGGTCTTTGCGCTTTCTTTTTTCCTTTTCGACTTTGATCGATACCAGGACACAAAACGTTGTTCTCTATCTTGTTCCTTTTTTTTTGCATATATGGCGTTTGTCATTTGTTGAGAGAACGGGGGGTTGACAAAAAGAAAGGAAAGACCGCGTTATTGCAGCCGTGCTTAAACCCCCCTGAAGGAGAGAGACACACACAGAGACAGAGACTTGTTTTCCTATGTCATGTTCGAGAGGGCACAAATTTGCCGGCTTCTCCACTTGCAGAGTTTCAAAGCTTTTTTATCTTCGCTCGCCCATGTTACATATAAAACAGAGTCCTCGGACACGCAGACTCACCGCAAAAAAACAAATACCTGATACTCTTCAATTGAAGGGGTAAGACTCGCACACGTTTGTTCCAGTCCAACCTTGGGACCTCGCGGTCCGGTACGTACGCGTCCAGACAAAAGTCTTGCATTGAGCGCAGGGTTGAAATCGGAATTCTCGGGCGATCGAATAGCATGGTGACACGCGTACGGTAAGTCCCGGGCATTCGTACGAGATTCGTTGCGTCGGTGACTAGGCAACAGGCTTAGGTAATTACAGTCACCTAACGTGTTCTATCAGTAAGCTGGAAACATCAGTAAGCTGAACGCCCCACCCAACCCGACCCAACGCTCTGCAC